TTCGATTCCATTGGTCTACCTGTCTATTTCGGTGCAAATACCAAGCTGATTTTAGGACTATAGCTCCGTAATAGGGCTTGAAGTCAGGAATGGTGATGCCTCTGGATGTTTCTTTATTGTACAGGGCTGTTTTGGCTATCCTGGGTTTTTTGTTTTTCCATATAAAATTGAGAATTTTTCCTACAATGTCTGTGAAGTATTGTTCTGGTATTTTGATGGGGATTGCATTGAATCTATAGATTGCTTTTGGCAAGACTGACATTTTTGCTATGTTCATTCTACTTATCCAAGAGCAAGGGAGATCAAGGTGTCATAACTGTTGATTCCTATACAATAAGAAAACAATCTAAATACGTTATTGCTCCAAGAAAGAAGGACAAATATATAGTCACAATCAAAGAAACACAAACCTAATATTTGGCAGTGTAAATCAAGTCCTGTAACTGAATGTCCTACATCTAGAATTCAGTTATGATCTTCTGGGCTCCATAACATCTGGGCAGTTCCACATCTCCAGTTCTGCCATTCACAAGGCAAGACAGCTCATTTCATAGGCTCAAGTTAGCTCCATTCTAACGTTGCTACTGCCTTTAGTAGTCATCTCATTGTACTGGCATTTCCCAAGTGCTGGGGTCTCCACATGCTGCACCTTGACCAATGAACTCTCAGCCTCAGGACTCCAACCCAGTTATTTCATTCCAAGCCCTGGCACTTCACCACGATACCTTCAATCCTCAGATTTCCTCTACAACTGAGGATTTAGTTGTCACCAATAGCCTCTCCTGACCATTCATAGTGTGAAGCCTCAGTGCTTTCCAGGGCTACTTCAAGTCTTCATAACCAGTTCCATGTTTGAGATTCTTACACATACTAAGTTTGGCTGCCAACATGAGATGCAGCCTTGTCCTCCTCTCGACCACAGTTTCTGTGTGCCGAACCTGAGGGAATACTTCCCCAAAAATTTACCCTCAATGATGCTGGTATCTTATTAATCATAGTTGATCTGTCAGCCAATGCCATCCAGGTCAATTGTCCCAGTAAAGCAGAGGTTTCATTGTAGTGGTTCTTATTTCTTGTTAATTAATCATAACTGATTTTTCAGCCCCAGCTGACGAAGTATCGTATATTTGTAACTTAAAATATTATTTGAATGGCCTGGATAAAGTCTTTGCAGGATTCTCAAAAAACTTCCCTCTAAAACATAACAAGCCAGACTTCCATTCTCTGCATATTTTTCAGCATTATCTTTCAAGTTACTATAGAGCAGCTTATTAAGCTCTGAGTGCTCTGAGTAATCAATGACTTTTCCAGCCCAGTGTCACAAATCAAATCACAATCCTCCCAAGAGTGACATGGTCTGGTCTGTCACAACAATACCCAGTAATAAAACACCATGCCCAAATCAACTTGGGAAGAAAAGGTTTATTTGACTTACACTTCTACATCACAATCCATCACTGAAGGAACTTTGGCCAGGAACACATTGAGCCTGAAGACAGGAACTGAAACAGAGACAATAGAGGAATGCTGCTAACTGACTTGCTCTCCAATGTTTGCTTTGTTATATCACTCAGGACAACCTGACCAGGAGTGGCATTGCTCACAGTGAGCTGGGCACTCCCACAGCAACTATTAATCAAGAAAATGCCCCACAGTATATATTCTCTGAAAGGAAATGATTCAAAAATCATTTTTAAAAATTCCTTAAGTAATCCATAAAAACTAATGGATTCTTATGAATGTACACCCATTAAAAGTAGTGTTTAATGTATAATTAATATATTGGTGTAAATCATCAGTTTCAAGTGTAATAATGATTTTACATGAAACATGTGTGTTACATTTGGGTTTAATATGCTCAACTACACACACAATATAATTCTCATTTATATCCAAGCAATTGTGTGTTTTTTAAATATATCTATTCTTAGCCATAAGACACAGATTTTGAGCAGAAGGTATTTCTTTGTATTAAACTTGTAATTCTTGGTTGGATTGAATGGATTGGCCTCTCTCTGAAATAGCTTTATGATGGTCATTAAACAAAGGCCTTTGTAATCTTCCAAGCATCCAATTATTTTCTGTCTCGTGTCTTTGAATATATGTATATTTTGCATTTCTCTTCTCCTTTCCTACTTTATCCTATCTTGGATTCAAGCCTGGATTACCTGTGTGGCAATTCATATAAAAGTTTATGTACTTTTCATATATACAAGCGGCACATTAAACTTCCTAATACACAAAAATATAGTTCTGCCACATGACAGGTGTGCCACAGAAATTTCAACAGCTCCATATTTTCTACAGAATTAGATTGAAGTGTATATAGCATTCCTCACTTCCACAAAGTGACTTCCACCTACGAGTTGAATTGACATTTCCTCTGACACAGGTATCCCTTTTTTTTTTTTTTGGTTTTTTGAGACAGGGATTCTCTGTGTAGCTTTGGAGCCTATCCTGACAGTCGCTCTGGAGACCAGGCTGGCCTTGAACTCACAGAGATCCGCCTGCCTCTACCTCCCGAGTGCTGGGATTAAAGGTGTGTGCCACCAATGCCTGGCCACAGGTATCCTTTTATGTCACCATGGTGATACTATTTTTTTTGTAATATCTCTTTTTATTTCTATCAATATTCTACTCAGTTTTTAAGGTTCAGCTGAGATACCAATCCACAAGTTGGTGTAATTTTGTCATACTTTGAACTCCTATTACTTTATTTATTGGACATCCATTATAACTCTCACTATAGTTTTCTTTGTATTAAAATCTTTCATGTACCTGCCTTATCTCTTCCTTTCAAATCATAGTTCTTGCCCTGCAGGAAATTAGGTTTTCACCTATCTTTTTATTTCCTGTAACGATCTCATATAGGAGAGATACCTGAAAGACATTTGAACAGAATTTAAATTGGATACCTTGGAAAGTTATATCTACTTATTTCAATAATGTTTAATTTGTCAAAAAGTTTTTGAAGTCTTTTACAATTGTTTTAAGAACCTGTGGGATTCTTTTAAATGCTTTTAGTGATGACAAATCGTCATTAAAATTTGATTTTGGAAAATAGAATTCATTCGGAGCCACATTTAGTGAATAGTATGAATGTTTAATCTAGGGTGTATTTCTTAGTTACAATAAAAGGTGTGTGAAGTAATGAGACAGAATCTCGGCATAAGAAGTGAACTGACATTTCCAAGTTTTCCAAATGCTTTCAACAATGACAACATTATTATAATGAGTTTAGAACATCTTAAAATTCCTAGTTTAAAATATACAGCCCTTGTGGAGCTTTGTAAGTTCTGAAATATTTATATGATCCACCTTGACTCCTTGTAAATTATTTCATAATTTTCTAAACCAGGCTGTTTATACAGAACATTTCATTTGAGTGCTATGTTTTATAGGTTCTAGTGAGTGAGAATCCTGCCTTCAATCTTGTACCAAACAAAAATCCCTGAAGTTAAATGAATGTTTATCTATATATAGTATTTTTCCATTTTTTTGCTTTTTGTTTTTCGAAACAGGGTTTCTCTGTATTGCTTTGGAGCCTGTCATGGCACTCACTTTGTAGACCAGGCTGGTCTCTGCCTTCCAAGTGCTGGGATTCAAGGCGTGCGCCACCAGTGCCCAGCTGTATTTTTCAATATCAAATTTTAAAAGTAAATCTAGCTTCTCTGAATTGTGCTAGAAATAAAAGGAATTAAAGAATACATTACAATAGACGTTAGTTGAATATAAAATTTTACTATCACCCAACTCTTTAGTAGTTGCTGTTTTAGAATTCTGTTTTATCCATAATTCTTTGTGATAGCCGACTTGTTTTCTAGAGGTTCTGTGTAGATTCTTTTGAATGATTCTCACTAATAGGCATATGTAAGGTGATAATTCAAAATAATTGGATATCTCTATTTGTGTGGAACATATAATGTGATTATTTTAGTTGATTTACTATACTTATTTAAAATTAAAAATCAATCATTCACACTCTGTCATGACCTTCAGGTTTCAGCTAATCACTATTTTATTGTACATTGAGTGAAAATATTTTACATTGAATAAAAATGCTTTTTACTATATTAAGCCAAGTTTACATGTCCATTATACAAAGAGTTGAAGTAAGTATATTTTTAGCTATGACCAATACTCTGTTCCATTTGTAAAAGTTAAAAATCTCTCAACATGTTTGTTGTTGGAGAAAATATTGGCAAGTATTTGCTAAGATATGAAATACTTGTAGACTATGGAAGATGTATTTGTCTGTCCATGATTGTAATATTGCAGAACTTCATTATCAACACTAATACTGGACCGTGACCCAAAAAGAACAAATTTTGCTGGACACATTCATATCTAAAAAGTCTTGATGTATAGATGATGTGGCTTAAAAGTTCACCTTTGTTACCTTTTAAAGTTAGGCATTCATTATACAAAAGTAGCATCCTTTAATTCAGTGGTCTTTTACAATCTACATTTTATCATTCTGTGATAAGGGTGGATAAAGGGTGGAAGGCATAGCAGAACAGATAACTAGTGAGGACACAATTTAGATAAACAGTGTTTCTAAGGTTCATATGAAGAGGGTGACTATAATAATATTTACATCAGTAAGTGTTAAGTGTTCAAAATAAATATATAATGTGTTTCATTTGTAGTGCTATCTTTTGCTTTGTGATGAACTATTTTAAAAGTTCTCCTTTCCACTTAATCCACACAACATTAAATTTTTAAAAATAATTTTATTTTCCATACACTTTCATATCCTCTACAGGACTTAACAAGTATTTATTTTTTAATTTCTGAGGAAATTTTACGCCATTTCTAATTGTTTCTGCAAGGAACGGCCCTTTAAATTGGTAAGGAAATAATGCCATTGATTTGGAATATATTCTGAATACAGATTTATATGTCTTCATCACATCATATACAATGTTTTTTAGTGTTTATCAGCATTGCAAGCAATGTTAATATATACCGTACTAAGATTTCATTTGTTGTTTTCACAGATTTCAGGAAACCTTACTGTGCCTTGGATTACAGGGTGTTCTAGGAAAAGAGCAGTAAGTAATCTTTGTTTTAAAGTAACAAATGAATTTCCTTTCATATTCTTAGTGGAGTATCATTGAAAAAAAAATTTTTTTTGGTTTTTCGAGACAAGGTTTCTCTGTGTAGCTTTGGAGCTTATTCTGGCACTCTCTCTGGAGACCAGGCTGGCCTCGAACTCACAGAGATCCTCCTTCCTCTGCCTCCAGAGTGCTGGGATTAAAGGCGTGCGCCACCAACGCCCTTCGAAAATATTTTTTTATGATTTTTTTATAGAACTTGTAAAACTGACCTTTGATAAAACTGAATTGTCTCAAAAGAGTGTATTTCTAACTCATAGTTAAAGGTGAGCATGTAATTATTTCACTAGACCCAAGATAAATGATAAATAGATGTTTATTGGGGAACAATTGCACAGAAAAATACAAAGAACAGTGGTGGGAGCATTTCTCTGCCCTTCCTACTGGATTGGCTGACCCATCAGAAAGAGCATGCAAAGGAAAGCCATGCCTCAACCTTCCCTCTTTCCACTTCCTTCTGCCTCAGACCACGCCCAAGGGAGGTGTGGCAACCGTTACAGGTTCACAGACTAGATGCCCACACATAGTGTTTAATCTGACAAAAACAGTCTTCATTAAAATACAGAAATCAATATACAGAGTATTCTGTGGTCAGTACTACTTTTGTTTATAAACAAATTTGTATTTTTATTTGCAATGTTTTTTTGCAATACAGTTTAAAAAAGAAAATGCTAACTAAAGATGAAAGAAAATGGATTTATAACTAAAGAAAACATTTAAAGCAAATCAAAATCTTAGTTTTCTACTATTTAGTTGATCATACAATTTAATCTTAAGGATATTAAATATTTCCTAATATGCTTTAGCACTTACTACAATTAAGTACTTAGAAAGAACATGTAACTAATATTTATAACTACTCTGGGTTTGGAACTGTAATATATAAATTCAGTAAGATTGTGTTTTCTTATGGACTCTCTGTAGGACCCATAAAACTGTATTTAATCAAGTACCCAGAATGCTTAATTGTAACAGGTATGTAGAAAACTATTAAGCCATGAAAAATAAATAAATGGGCATTTAGAAAGGTAACTTAAGTTACAAAATGGTTGATGGGTTTGAAGACAAATGAAATTAGAGCTAAGACTTCAGATTTGGTACAAGACCATCCAGATTCTTTATTTCTTTCTCTTGCCCATAAAGTAAGAGATTTCTGAAAAGTTGAAAGAAGGTGACATGATTATAGAATCCAGGGCATGGAAGAACCATACTGTCCCTACCCATAAGAGTTCTATAAATAAGTTTGGTAACTTGGCAAGGAAGATCAACTGGAAAGAAACTGGTACTGACAGTTTGCAATGAAGGAAGTGCTCACCTTTCTAACTGAGACAGAACTTTCCCTCTCTAAGAGACAGTCAGCTAGAATGCTAAAGGAGGATTCTACAACAAACAGGCTTGTCTGGGGAGCCTCTCTCTGTGTCTTATACACTACACAGTTTCGTATTCCACATATCAAACAAGGCTAATAATCAGCATCATCAAGAAGAAACAAGCCACAACAGGAAGCCTTTGAAATACGGTGAATCCATTTTCCTTTATACAGATATGGGTCTACTGAGTAGCATTAGTAGGAAAGGTAATCTCAAAAGTTTTTGAGTTTCCATCACTTTAGGCAGCACTAACAAGATTAGTAGAAGCATCAATGATGTCAGATCTCATGAAAATAACATCAAAGAACATAGAAATTAAAGAATTATGAAACTATAACTCTGTTAGGTTTCCAGAATTACAAGAACATGGTGGTTGCAGACATGCCTCAAGTCATGAAAAAGGTGAATTGAAGTCAACCTTGAGGCAGTGTCTGAGGTAAAGGTACAGCCTACTTAGGGAAAGCAAAGGGTGCTGTTTTTGAATGTTTTCTTAGGAAGGGGTTAAATGTTGTACCACAAAAAGCAGATCTTAAGTCAGTCGACGTCGACATTACCATATTAGGTTAAAATGCATTATGGTTCAGGGCTAAGGCAGATGTTTTCGAAGTTCCAAGTACATCTCCAGTTAAGGGGTGAATGGAAATTTTCACAGAACAAAGTTCCTAGATAATATATGACTTGTCAGTGTGACAATGGTTGGCCTGTTCTGGGCCTGGGCAGCAGGGAAACTGAGTGTATTCTTGGCCATGCTAAAACCCCTCTGTTTAGAACTTGGTTGCCTGGAAGGCTAGTTTCCAAAAGACTTCCCACTCATTGATGTGACAGAACTGTATAAACCACCAGAATTTCTATGCTAAATTTAAGGGGAGAAGTATCTATTAAAAAAAGATAAAACCGAAAGCCTTGGAAGATAATGGTCAAACGTCCAGGAAGCTGGTGGAAATTCCTTAGTGCACAAAGAAACAGGAATGTTGCGACATGAGTGATAAAAGGCAGTCTACTGACACAAACAAGGAGGTGAGTCAGACATGGTAATATCTGACAAACAAGTTAGAACACAAATGGTGAAAAACTTCAGTAAAAAGGTCCAGGTTGTATTAAAAAACAGCAGATGGGTGGTGGCAGGATAGCTCAGTCGGTAGAGTGCTTGCCATGCACTGAGCACTGGCTTCTATCCCCAGTACTTAATAAAATAATCTAAAGAAAGCATTAGACATTATCAGAGTGAAATAAATAAAAGTATAGTATTGAAAAATACATCTAACATAAACTCTTTGGTAATTGGCTCAGTATTGGCATGGAGGTGAAAAAATACATACTAAGTGAACTTGAGAGAAGTTAAGGCAACAAAGAAATGAAAAGAAAACTTTAGAAGAAAGAATGAAATTATTGAAGTGAATTTAAAATGTATCTTAATTATACCTCAATAAATCTTTAATATTCCATCCAGTTACTATTGCATGTGGGTATTTTAACATAGTTTAAAAACTAATATTTAAAAACCAAATCTCATGAAATTTACACACAGTTATAGTACATATAATAATGTAGCCTACAAAATGATATATGGAATAAGTATGAAGTACACATTGGATTTCAAAGATGTAGTGTGGTAAGCATGGCAAAACTATCTCAATTTTTATAATGATTGTGATAAATTGCATTAAAATACAACATGAGCTTATGGCTTAAAAGATTACATGTAAATGGGGTGTTTGTCTTCCTGGTAAAGCATTTGCCTAACATGCTCAAAGACCTATAGTCCATGTTTCATATCTTTGAATAGTTTAAATGGAGTGTTACACAAATAGGCAAAGCATACTTCCAGCACTTACAAATTTTTAGTTATTTTAAATAATTTTACTTTTAAAGGAAATTATTACACTTATGGTTTACAATATAATTTTTATAAACTTGTACATTGAAGAAAGCATATCCATCTTATGTATTTATCATTCTTGGTTTCGTTTGTTTCAGAGCTGTGAATAGATGTAAGAGCTTGCAAAGGCTATAAGCAAATGCTCTAATGACTAGAATAAGTCCTTTGCTTCTGTGGTGACAGCATCTGCAGTCTATTCTCTAAGTACATTCCCAATATGTAATACAATTTTGTAACTTTACATATTTAGATGATCTTGGGCCTGCAAGATGACTCAGCAGGTAAAGACACTTGCTGCCATGCTGAAGCATCTAAGTTTGATTCCTAGGTCCACATTGTGGAAGGAGAGAACCTACTCTTACAAGATGTTCACACAAAGTCTATGGCATGCCCAATCCTAACATACAAATTAACAGTAATATTTACCTAGGTCCACATTGTGGAAGGAGAGAACCTACTCTTACAAGATGTTCACACAAAGTCTATGGCATGCCCAATCCTAACATACAAATTAAAAGTTGTATTTGAAAATTTAAATGATCATTATTATTTATTCTTGCAATTGTAAGACTCCTTTCACATATGTATTTGTTTACTGGACAATACCCCGTAGCCCACTTGCCCTTTCTTCATCCCTGGTTATCATTTCTTTCCTTTTTATCCTCATACTGCATGTCTCTAAGCTCACGGATCCTTTCTTCTGCTTAAGACTGCAGGTTAAATGTTTTGTTAATTTTTAATTCTGTTATTACATGACTCAGCTCCTTAATTTCTAGTAACTAGAATCTAGTTGGTCCTTCTTCATCACATTCATCTTGTTAATATATTCCTTTTAGTCATGCATCATGTTCCGGTTTCAAATTCAATAGTCACCTATGACTTTTGTAATATATTGAGCTTCTTTGTCAGGTAATTCATATACTTCATTTTTTTAGGGTTCCTTACTGAAGATTCATTTTGTTAATTTGATTTTTATTCTTTTCCTTATTGCCATGTTTTTTATACATTTCAGCTTGTGTCTGCATTTGAAAAAATAGTCCTCTCCTCTTTACAGACCAACTTGTATGACCCATCTTTACCTGCAAACCTGACTAAAGATTCCAGGTGCTTGTTTTTAGCTTCCCCCTTTCATAGAACTGTTTCTCCAGAAGCAGATAACTTCTGTCTTCTGCTCTCTGTCTGTGTCACCTTGTCACAATATTTTTTCTAGGGGAGATGTGAATAAATGTCCATTTACCCTATATAGTGCACCACAAACAGAGAAAAATATTATTTCACTAAAGTCTAACTTGAGTATCGTGCTATGTCAGAAATATAGAAAAATGTGTTTGTGTTTTTCTTCAATGTCAGAAGTTATTAAACAAAAATAATTTTACAAGACTTTGGAGTTTCAGTGTCAGCTACTTGCCAGACAGTCCCAATTTCCTTGGTAACCCTCATGAAGGGAACATATGTTTTTTTATGTTCTAATATTATTTAGTAAGATTTATTTTCAGGTTGCACATTACACACCATAAAGCAAATGCATCTGTCTGTTTATCGGTCTATCTGTCTGTCTCCGTGTGTGTACGTGAGAATGTTTAAATGTTGCACAATGACTACAGTGTTCAAAGGGGCAAGGAATTTTGCAGAGCACTGAGAAGCTGATATTGAGAAACAAACGGAGATGTAAGAGTCTTTGTGCTGAT